CCCCAAGCCAGGGAATTACTTGGAGTCAGCAGAAGGTGGAAGAGAGAAGGAAAGGTTTCCTGACATCTTAATTTTAGACTTCTGGTCTCCATGACTGAGAGAACACATTTTTTCCTAAAACCACCGAATCTATGGTAATTTGCTATAATTACTCTAACGAACTACTGTAAGAATAAAAGGAAGTGATTCTGAAAACAGACCTACATTTTGTAGAGTAACATGAGCAAAAATATAGTGTCGGTCTGCTTTCTGTTGCTAATCACAGAACACCACAGACTAGATAAGAGATAAAGAAAAGAGGTTTATTTTGGTTCATATTTCTGTTTCAATTAGAATACATCACAACTGAAGTCACAAAGTACAAATGATCAGAGGCAATTACTATGGATAATTATATGCCAACAGATTAGGTAAACCAGAAGAAATAGATAAACTCTGAGAAATGTGTATCTTACCAAGACTGAACCATGAAGAAATATTTTTAAAGTTAGATCATTAGTGATTAAGGAGATCAAATCAATAATAAAAACCGAGCATCAAAGAAAAGCCCAGAATTTGATGGCTTCATGATTGAATTCTACCAAATCTTTAACAAACATCTAGTGCTAGCCTTCTTGCTGGTCTTACAGTCCTCCAGTTATGCAGGGCATCATATGGTGAAAGAGAGAGAGCAAGACAAACAGCCAAACTAACTTCGTAGAAGACCCTCTCTGTAAACACCCACTAACCCATTCATGAAGCAGAGGCTCAACCACCTCTTAAAGATCCCACCTAATCCTACTTCTTCATATTTCATAATGAAGATTAAATTTCAACCCAAGGTTTGAAGGAGACAACCCAGATTCCAACTGCAGCATACCGCAGTGCAGTGTAGTTGACAAAAGATGGCTTTCTTAATTAATGATTTGTGGTCTCTTGAGTATTCACAATGGGAAAAAATGACTTTTATCTCACATCATGCACAAAATTAATTAACTATGGATCTTAGACCTACCCACGAAAGCTAGAACAATCAGGTTTCTGGGTGAGAAAATAGGAGAATGTCTTTGTCATCTTAGGATAGAAACAAATTAAGCAAGACAGAAAAACACCCTAAAAAGAAAATAGTGATGAATATGATATGGTAATCAAAGTAATGAACACCAAAGATATTCACATCTTAGCCACCTAGATCTCCTTTGTAATGCTACATTATATTTATATTAGAATTTTATTTACTAGCATTGAAGATAGAGGAAGGAATGCAAGCTGAGAGTCAGTCCCCTTCCAAAAGCTGGAAAAAACAAGAAATAGATTCTGTCCTAGAGCCAGTAGAAAAGATTCTGCCCCCTGACACCTTGGTTTTATCCCAGTGACGCCTTAGTCAGACTTCTGAAGCACGGAACTGTAGGATAAGAAGACTGTTGTTTGTAACTGGCAGGTTTGTGGTAATGTGTTACAGCAGACATGCGGAAAAAATACATAAAATTTCACTATAATTAATAACATCTGTTAATTTAAAGGCCATTAGAGCTTTGAAAGCAAGAAACAGACAGGAAGAAGATATATTCTACAACAGCCTTGTACCCCAAATATAAAGAGAATGCCTACAAATCTATAATTAAAATATAACCAGGATCAGGGATGTAGCTCAGCAGCATAGGGCCTGCCTGGCAAGTGCAAGGCCCTGAGTTTGATTCCTGATTTAAATAAATAAATAAATAAATAACCTAATTTTAAATAAGCAAAAGGGTTGAACTGGTACTTTACAGAAAAGGAGTCAGAATGGGCAAATGAAAATGGAATGGGTGCTCAATATCATTACTAATCAGGAGTCTAATTAAATCTATATGAAATAAAGAAATAAGCTCAAGGGATGTCTATAATTAAGACTGACTGAGGAGGCAGAAGAGATTGGGATTCAGAACATAGTTGTGAGGGTGGGTATAGGCAAGAACAAACCCAGTGCTTTCACTGCGACAACATGGAAATGAGAGAACATAAATTGAGATGAAGATATGTTGTTAAATTTTTATGGTGGGACAATGCCAAATGGAATGATTTCCTCTGGAGTTTGGTGAAATCACGTGGAAAGAAGGTGCTTGTAAAGGGATGTTTAGAGGTATGCGGAGAAAATAGATGTCATAAAGAAAATGTAAATAAACATGTAAATAATATAATGGAAAAGACATTAAAGTATTGGATATGGAAACTTCAGACTTGAAAGGTAAGCCAGAGCAACTGTTTGGTGCAATCTACTAAAACTAAACATATGTTTATTCAGCAGTCCTATTTCTACACTAGCTGTACTGAGGTAGTCATCCATATGATTGGCTCCAGGACCCCTTAAAGATATTTTGAGATGCTTAAGTCCTTTATATGATGCCTAAATTTTGAGATGCTTAAGTCCTTTATATGAAGTGGCAGAATATTTCCATATACCCTAGGCAAATCCTCCCATATACTTTTTTTTTTTGGTTTTTCTCCGGTACCGGGAACCGAACTCACAACCTTGCGCTTGCCAGGCAGGCACTTTGCCGCTGAGCTAAATCCCCAGCCCCCCTCCCATATACTTTAAATTATCTCTAGATTACTTATTATACCTAAAACAATATAAATGCTATGTGAATAGTTGTTGCCCTGTCTAGAGAATAATGACCAAAAAAATAAATGTAGATGTTCAACACAGACATAATTTTTCTAAGTATTTCCTATCTGAGATGTGTTAAATCCACAGGTATAGAACTAGTATATTGAGGACCAACTGTATACCCAAGATAAATTATTAAATATGCTATGAAATGATATTATCAAACTATCCATTGCAGCTTTCTTCAAAATAGCCCCAAAACTAGAAGCATTCCAAATGCCTCAAATAAGTTAAATAGATAAATGAAGTTTCATATAGTGATACGATAGAATACTAAGTTAGAATATTTAGTAATACACAGTTACACATACACGGCCATTATATTGAGTTAAATAAGCAGTGTACATTCAGTAAGATTCCATGTATATGAAGTTCAAGAACAGAGAGTTGTTGCAGCCAATGTAGTAAACCTTTCTGAAGAAAGAGGGCTTTTGTCTGAGAAAATACATAAGGGAAATGTATAGCATGCTTAAAATATTCTGTCTTGATTTGGATCATTTAAAAATTCAGCAAGCTTAACCCTAAAGATAGTAGTTTACATAACTTACTCCATGTATATTTTAATCGGAAAGATATAGAAAGTGAGTTAAATGAAATATGCTCAGATTTCTGGAATGTAGGAAATAAGAATTTTCAACTCTGTAAAGGCATAGGCGTGTAGTAGCTAGGGCATGGTGCACAATAATAATACCCAATTGCTCTAAAATTCTTAACCAAGGAATAAGAGAAATTAGCCCAAAATTGATCAGAAAATAGACAAATTCTTTAAAATTTAAGCCATCTGTTCTTGGCATAACCGGATTTTAGGGAGATTTCTATGTCTAACAGAAAACATGAGGAGCATTTGTACACTATCACTGGCTAAGCCGTGGACCTACATATGCTGCTTAGCATCACTGAAACAGCCATTCAGTCTGGCTCCACCGTGACTCACAGGTAGTAATGATAGGCCAAGCATCTTGCTTCTCCCTCCTTCTGCTCTGGACCACAGTCTGTTTTCTATTTAACTATGTAAATACCAGAATTCTTCTGGAATAGAATGTGGTCCAAAACCAGACATCTTACCTGGAAATGAAAAGTCTTCAAAATAGTCAATATAAAACAAAAAGAGAAGTGATCCAAATGTAAGTGGGTGTATAAAATGGATAAAGCAGTCTTCAGGTCTATTTCAATGGTGGGGCACTTGCCCCACACATGCAAGACCCTGTGTGTAATACCCAGCACAGCAAGAAGGAAGGAAGGAAGGAAGGAAGGAAAGAAGGAAGGAAGGAAGGAAGGAAGGAAGGAAGGAAGGAAGGAAGGAAGGAAGGAAGGAATAAAAAAAGGGAGGGAGGGTGGGAGAAAGAGAAAAAGGAAGTGAAATGAAGTTAAAAGAAAATGCCATGCTTAAGGTAAGTAATATTTTTAGTGCTACTTCTTCCCTGACTACCCAAGTACAAATATGTGAGCTTGTCCCACACTCTATGTCACCCATCTTCCTCCATGGACGTGGATTGTGGTTGGCAGAAGGGCAATAGTCTTGAGCTCCCTGTAAAGGAGAGGCCAAATGGCCAACATGAGCGATTTCCAAAAAGTGCAACATGGAGACAAGCTAGTCCATTAAACTTTTGACTACTGAGTTAATAGCACTCCTACTTTAAATCATATCCAACAGTGTTGATCAAAGTTACACAAAATTGTCTAAGAACTAAATCCAATATTACTAAGCTTGAAACACATAATCACACTCACTTCCTCAACTTGAACTTCACAATATTTTTAGTAAACCAAGCACATTGCCTGGTAAGCAGTAGAGGCTCAATAAAAATTTGCTGAATAAACAATCAAGAACTGCACACATTCTGTCAGGGTGCCTGCAGTATCCCATATTACTGCCACCCCCATCTATACCTCTAGAAACTGTTGATCCTTCCCTAAATGTGCAGACATTGACAATTCATGAGTTACATCCTAACCACTCCCTGAGTTAAAGTTCTCTGTCTCCTTTGTGCTCCCATGGAGATTGCTGTGCTACTGTTTAAAACTCACTATATTCTTCATGATTCGTGCTTATATTCTCTCCTCTGCTGAAGTAATCCAGACCCCCACCATAATTCATAGAAATTGACTTTGTGTGTTCAAAAATGATCTCAGCCCACAGAAACTATCCTTTATGCTTCACTCCCTACTTACCAGAAGTCCCTTTGCTTTTTGGGGGGGGATGGTAAGGGAGTGGGGTTTTTTTATTTGTTTTTTCTAAGTAAATCTGAACACATTTCTATGTGTAGGTTTATGCTTTGTTTTCAAAATGTATATTTGAAACTCTTTTCATGTATGTTTGACTTTTACTATATTTGCTGTACCATTTTTTAAATGAATGCTTGCTTCTGTATTCAAATATCTATTATGATTTACTTATTCGTGAATATAAGGCTTCCTCCCCTTTACATCCAAAAACAGTGCTCATAAATATTAGTGAATATTGGTTTTATACTCGTGTATGAAAAGAAAGTCCGCGTCACAAAGTGTTACAGGGGCGGAGATATAGCTCAGCAGCACAGCGCATGCCGGGCAAGCGCAAGATCCTGAGTTCGATTCCCGGTACCAAAAAAAAAAAAGTGTTACAGTCCTTGGCTTCTGATTGATGGTCAAGCTTCCTTATTTTGTCATATATTCAAAATCTTTGAGTCTGTGGGATTTTCTCTCAGCAGTTTTGTGCAGCTGATAGGGTCTGGAGTAATGTAAACCCTGAAGACAGTGGCGTGGGCCATCACCTGAGAACTAAGTGGGCACATGAGACCTGCGGCTGCCGCTTTCATGGTACGCTTCATCTTCCCTTCACCTTCAAGGCATTGCAGAAATAGCTGTTTTCAGTTCAGAACGGTTTTGTCCTTTCAGGTGAGCATTACAGATTGAGGCCATCTGTTTGTTTCAGCTCTGTTACTGCTTGCTGTTAGGGGAGAGGAGGGAAAGGAGTCAAAATGAGGACGGAGTTTTCCAAAAATAATTGAGTCTCACATAGTTATAGTCCTACTAGCGTAGAAACTCCAATAGCAAAAGAGCATTCAAAGAAACAATCGCCAGGAAATCAATCATGCAAACTTGGAAAATCTCAAAGGCATGAAATTCAGGGCCATCATCCCCTCTAGCTTCCAACATTTATGTCTGTAAAACACAGCATCCCACTAGACTTCAAGCTCCAAAACAGCAGGGAGGCTGTCTTGCTAATCACAGCATGCTTAACCACAGTGGAAACTCAAAGTTGGGGAAAGGAACGAAGACAGAAGGGAGAGGGAAGGAGAGAATGGGAGGGATGAAGTGAAGAGTTATCTAGCTCTCATTCTGTACTGGAAATAAACTTTTCCTTTTAAGTAACAACCACAATCTGTCCCATAAGAGATTGGTCTTAGATAATCATTGTAAGAGTCTATAGACCTTTTTTCATGTCATATATTTATTTTCAGAAACCTCGGTACAGTTCCTCTGTCTTTGCACTTCATATTTTTCATCAGACTGTCTTTATATCCTTGGACGTTTCAATATATTTATTAATATATTCCAGGACACTGTAAGGTCGGAAGGAAAAAGGTGAGCAATGTTCACAAATTCGATTAAGGTGTATAGACTCTTTGTTAGAAGCTTTTCCCCTGAAGAGAAAAATCATTTTCAAGCCCTCTTCAATGCATGTTATCATATGATGGGAATTAGAATATGCAACTTCAACAACTACTCATTGGAAAAATCATTTGAGACACAAAGCTTACATCAATCACCTGAAATATAATTATCATTGCTAAATTACTATTTTCTATTATCTGGAAGACAAAAAAAGTTTCCTCTTGGTTTCTAATTTTAAATCTTGTAAGTACCAAGGAGGAAGGCCTTTCAATGTATAGACTTCATACAATGTAAAATTCAACTGTAAAACCATTCTTTTAAAAGAGATGTGAAACACCGTGAGGTGTGAAATCATCAAGAACCTAGTGTCTTTTTTTAACAGCCTGCCATGTCCACTCATGAGTTTGCTTTCAATGTAGTCCTGAAGCAGCACAGTAAGATTCTGAATAACAGCATGCACCAAATCTTATCCTAAAGTACATAAAGCATTTTGACACATACGTTCACAACAACAGTCTTCAGTAGAAAAGGGAACAGTGAAAGTTCTGAGAAACCCGGCAGGAATACTTCGTAACGTTCAGTGGTTTAGATGAGTTGCTAAATTCTAGCTGCAACAGTGTATGTAGTTCACATGAAAAATAACTTTATTCACTGCGCAGATAAAAAGTCCCTTTCAATATGCTCTATTTGGGGGTAATTTTGTGACTCAAACAGTTTGTCATATTTCCCCAAGGATGCCTTAATCATTTCTCTCTTTCCCCCTCTAAAGACCTCTGAAAATCCGGTTATGGGTCATAGGTGCACATATGTTGCAGAAATAGTCAGAACATACATTTCTCAGCAAATAATTAGGAGTGGAAGAGTAGGTCTTTGTAGGCTAAATTATAGTTTTTCCATATATTTGAGGAAATTTCTTAAGACACTATTTCACAATAATTCCTTGTTATTCATTGAGGAATCAATGTCTCCAACCAAAGTATTAGGATTCTGAGAGGTTTTTCTCCTTTGTGCAGTTCAGCCAAAGGGCACCATCTGGAAAAGTAGCGAAATCTAGAAAGGTTTAGTGGGAAAATGTTTACATTTTAAATAAAAATCCAAACCTTCACAATTCTGCCAATCCAGGAAATGTCTGGATTTAGAAATGGTTACTATAATCCAATAGGGTATTTAATGAAGAATATAAACAATTTCTGTGTGCTCTGAAACCAGAAGTAATTTAAAATATCCTGTACATCATTTCTGGAAGGGACAATAACCTTCCATGTTTTCTGATACTTTCATCTCTCATTCTCTATATCAAAGAAGTGAAAAATTCTCCTTATTGACAAATCTTCTAATTATTTCATCAAATGTACTTTTAGTCTGGAAATAGAAATTCATAAAGTGGCACTCACCTGTCTTTATCTTTTTCCTTGCATTTACTGCCTGTGTGGTCTTTACAGTCTGAAATTCACTGAATCAGAAGGACAGAAATGAACTGGTAGAGAACAGGGATTTTTGTTTGTCTCTGTCAGCTATTACATCATGTTAACTTCTAGACAAGGGGTGCCTCTGTCCTGTTGCTTTTGTGTTTCTGTTTTCAGCTAAGAATCTCAGAGCCCTTTTTGTCTGTTAGAATTCTCCTGTCATAATTCCTACTGGTCTCCTATGATTCTTAAGGTTCATCTCTGTTATTACACTTCCCAAAGAGGATGGTCTCCTCTGTAGATAATCTGTTAATTTTCATATTGCAATGTATATACAATAGCCAGGAGAACATTTGATCTACTTCCTTTCTTGTTGACAATGTATACTTACTGTTCAGAAAGATTTTTTTAAACCCCTTTTGAACCATTCCTTCTATGCACTAGGATCTCTAATATGGAATCACACTGGTTTTTTTCTTAGTTGCTTTTTAAATTTGCATCATGAAAGATTAGAATGATATTTGTGAGTGCCTGGAATCTGCAATCCCTTCATTGTTTTGATTTTCAAAAATAGGTTATTTGTACACTGTTTCCTCTGACCAAACTCCCTGCCTTCCCTTTTTCTAGCGAGCTCCCTGTCATTCTCCTAAGAAACCTATTATGCAATCTTTTTTCCCTGAAGCCTCACGGTCCTTCACCTTTATGTGTTCCTCTACTATAACACCTAGCATATGAAATGAAAATTAATCATGTAGACTGTGAGGGTTTTTTTGTTGGTTTTTTTGTTGTTGTCATTTTGAGACAGAGTCTCACTATGCAGTTCAGGTTGGCTTTGAGCTCACTTTGTAGCCCAGGCTGGTCTTGAACTTGGAATGATCCTCCTGCCTCAGCCTCCTGAGTGTTGGGATTACAGGTATGCACCACCACACCCGGCTAGACGGTGAGTTCTTAAAGAGAATTCTATTAACGTTGAAATCTCCAATTCATCATACAGTATATTCAATCATTCATTTATTTAATAATATTTTTCAAGGGTCTAATATATGCCAGAACTCAAGGGATTCAATGCTCACTTGTGAATGAAACAAACATGATCTGCGCTGTCTTTGAAGCTTTCATTTTAGAAGGATGAGGCCTGCGAATGAACAAGTAAATAAACAAACTAGATAATTCTGTGGTTAATTATTGTTAACCAATTCTAAAATGTAGAAAACAGGCTGTCTTAAAGTGTGATGAAAAAATGTACTTGGCGAGGCGGGTGAGATCTTGCTTGGGTAACATTATTTAAGCTTCAATCTAAATGAAATTGAAAACTACATTAATATCTATACATAGATCCCACAAGCCTCTAGCAGTTGCAAAAAGCTCAGCAAGCCCAGAAATAAAAAGAGTCCTACGTGGGTAGGTCCTAGCAAGTAAAGAAAACAATTAGGTAATTATTAGCCAGACGATTGATTAAGTAAGGCTGTGAATGTCATAGTGAGGAGTTTGGATTTCTTTTTAGTTTAATTACAAGCCACTGGAAAATTTTGAAAGTAGTGACACAATTTAGCTTGCATTTAAAACCAAAAGCATTTCATGTTTGTTGAATGAGTAAATAAATCATGATTTCTTCATTTCTGTAACATCAGTTTTGTGTTGATTTTGAATCCTGCTTAAGCACTGACTGAAGAAGAGAGCTGATCCACTACTCCTAACATCCTGGTATCCCTCCTACCAAAGTATTCACTCTCTGTTATTTCCACCTCTGTGTTTCCTCTAGGTGGACTTCTAGCAAGGTGGAGATTGGGGTGAGGGTGCTATGGTGTACTAGGTAGGAATACCACTGTTGTCCTATACCTAAGTTATGCCCTCTAATACCAATTTTATGAGTTTTAAAATGACATATTGGTCCCATTATCTGAATTTTATTTCTACCTCACAACTGGTTCTGAACTCAGAGAAAAAACAAATGGTTCTCTAAAAGCTCAGTGAGACGCAGCATGATACAGTTAGATGATGATGAATTGGCGGTTTCAAAATCTGGTAGGCTTGACATTTGTTTACAGCCCTACTGAGAAGTAGCTGTGAAACTTTAGGTCTGTCATTCAGAACAAATAGCTAACGCTCTATATCATTAACTTGTTCAGTAACACCTTGGCCCATGAATGCTTTTATTCACAAACACAAGCGTTCAGCAAAATTTTGTTTCCATTTGCAAATGCTGTATGGGGTCACAAACACAAACAACTATATTCCCCAAAATTGTAAAACATATTAAGTTTATAAACCAAGGTAACAGTGTGTATGTGTGTGTGTGTGTGTCTCACACAATTCTGAGATTTAGTTATTATCTCATTTTAAGAATGAAAATTTGGGCACTAATAGATTCTTTTCAATTAAAGATTGGACTTGAAAGAGTAAGAAGATATGCAGAAACGATAATTGGAAACACAGAGATTTCCAAAACACAGGATTTGATTTTTGGAGTCATCAGCTTGCTTAAACGCAAGCTGAAAGTCTGAGTATGGGGAGAGTTAGTCCAAGCTTGGGATTTAAATCCAGGCAGCTTGACTCAAGAGTGTGACTCAGCCTCTGCAAGTTATTATAAAATGAGCAGTTGAACCAATCTCTAAGGTGTCTTTCTGAATTTATCTGAAACTTTCCTCCATTACCCAATCTACCTTCTCAGAAATGGTCTCTCCATTACAAAAAAAAATCATATTTATAAAGTGAAATGGTGAAAATGAAACCAAACATATGATCAATAAAAATAAGTGAATGTGTTCCCCAAAAAATGACGTCTCCATCTTCAGTGTCTGGACATTGACACAATTAGTGCCATTTCTCTGTCATTTCCTTGTGGCAGGTGGGGAGGTGTGTTCACTTGCATGTCTATTTTCATGTGTCCCTTATGGATGGCATGTTATTTCGTTTGGCAGTGGTAGCTGGTTTGCCCTTCCTCCTTGTGGGAGTGTAAACCTAAATTGATCCGGCAAACAAATCTGATCTGCAGTATTTTCCCCATTATTCATCACTTTAATTTTTTGACAGAAGCTGATGACTCAAAAACTCAAATGCTATTACTGAAATCTCTTAATCTGCAATTATTCTCTCTCCATACCTTCTTTCTCCTCCGTATATAAAATTCAAATGGAAAAATCTATTAATATCCTACACTTTATTTTTATTCCAGACTTTAAAATCACCAGGGACACATGGCGTTTTACTTCCCACTATGCTGTCTGCTTCCACGTAAGGAGCACACTGCGTCAAGCTATAACGGTTTTGAACCATAGGCACATACTTCTTAATGGCCTTGCTCACAGTTATTCACCCTGTGCCCCAATCAGCTTCCTGTTCTATGGTTACACGGGTGAGTAGGCTCTTCCTTTCAACCCATACTCCCAAAACACATAATGAACACCTTTCATCTTGCTATAGGCCATGTACTTTCCTCACCTCAGCTGCCACCGTAATTCTCATCCACCTAGAAACTAGGAAAATCCCCCCATACCCATTGGACCTTTTCACTTGTGACTTATAGGGTTCATCTTGTTTTGTTGTTGTTGTTACCATTGTTGTTTAGAGATAAAATTTCACACAGCGTGCAGTGAACCAGAGGATGGATGGCTCGCTCTGCTGAATTCTGAGTTTTTCTATTGTTTTTGCCGTATTTTCTCTCTCTTGACATTAGTTTTTAATATACGCTAAAAATTCACAATTGTCTTCTTCTAGGCTTCCTTCTAACTAAATAATTATGCTGCAGTGTCTCTAGTGTATATAGTGGTTAATAAAAATAGCTAAGTTTTGCTCAACAAAGACATGTACTAGAACATTTCAAACAACAGTACTTGTAAGTATCCAAAACTGGAAACTAACCAAATGTCCATCAATAGCAGGATGGACGAATAGATTGTGAAATATTTGTACAATATTCCACCCTAAGAACAAATGTAATCGCATGTAACAGTATAGATGAATTTAGGTGAAAGAAGCCTGACAAAAAAATAAAGCATAGGGCTTCTATTTCAATGCAGTATAAAACAAGTGAAAACAAAATGTTGCTGTTGGAAATCAAATTACTGGTTACTTTGGGGAGCTGGGGAGAATGACTGGAAGAAACAAAAGGAGTCCCTGCATATGGTTGCAGTGTTTTTGCTTTGTTTTGTTTTTGTCCATGTTGTTGTTATTTTCTTATTTGTTTTTTGTTCTCTTTAATATAAAACTACTGTTTGTGTTCCATTCTTCATTTCAGGGCTGATTACATTAGTTCAAGTGTAGAAAACTTAGGGAGGTCTCCACTTAACATATATGTACTCTATATTTTAATAAATTACTTTTGTGCCTGGCAAGCACAAGGTCCCGAGTTTGATTCCTGGGACCAAAATAAATAAATAAATAATAAATAAATAAATAAATTACATTTTAAAACAAAAACATATTTAAACACACTTAAAACTAATAAACATTACTTTTGTGCCACAATGTTTATCTATGGGATTGATTTTTAGGTACTAACCATCTCAATCTGCAGTAGCAGAATCAAATTCAAGATTCTAGCACAGACAATTGATCTTGGGTCTGGTTTGAATCTTGGTGCTGTTCATTTCCAAGTGTTAACTTTTATTTTTACTGTTTTTTTAATCCTTTGTGTTCATCTCGCTTACTTCAGCTTACTCATTTACAAAATGAAGATAATAATACCAGCTATTCCGTAGGCTCAGGTAAGCTTACATGAGCAAATCCTTGTAAAGATACTTGACATAACACCTAACAAATTGTAAGTACTCTTTACTTCTTCACTAAATTACAGTTTCTGGATAAGAAATATATACCTTTTGTACATTGAAGCATTCCAAGGCAGAGGCAAGCCTTCTCATCTTTAAATTTTATAAGCTAATTTTATAAGCTAATGAGAAAGCAGCACGTCATGCTTTGTTTAGAAATGAATAATGAATTTGCGTGGAGAAGAATGTGATCCTAACAGGTGGAGGTGGGGATTAGACAATGGTAGGAATGGGCACAGACAAGTGTAAAACAGCCAAGAGCCATATCTAGGTCATCATCATCAGAGTTTTAAAAAGA